TACACGTGACAACACGATCAGTCGCCATGGCTACGATCTTTTTTAGAACAATAAGATCCTAAAACAGACGCACCCATCCGAGAAATACAACTGGCAGTTATACAGTAAGCTTCTCCAGTACTGCTTCCATCTGGAGTACTGGTGGCTATAAATACACCATTTTGTACGATTTGGGTTTACAAAATATGGCCACCGTATTCCACGAACACGATACGTAGAATACAAAAGGGGAAAAATTAAATAAAAAAAACCCAGGTATTTTCGGAAAATTGGGGCTATGTCTTTCTGAAGAAAGAAGATTGTTATATATAAAAAAAAATGTTAACGTGTGGCTGGTGTTGCAACTTCGATAAATGTCCCGTTATATGCAAGCTATTATCATCGACTACAAATATATATATAAAACTATTATCAACAATATTAACTGATATACTTAAATAAAGTCCTGAAGTGATCAGTCAGTCTAATCGCTGTTCTTCAGCAAACTTCAAATTAAAGTATTTCAAGCCTAGAAAAACGATTTCAATTTTTTTTATTTTATACATTTATATTTTACTCGGAATTGGATCCACCTGTGTTTGGCAACGTTCCAAATGTCCACCTGAAGATCTCGTGAAGTTCGTAGAGACTGCGTTGGCGCCAAACAAGCCCCCAAACTCCGAGCCTTTGTTCTCATCGGACCATTGACACGCTTAGCCTTGATTTTGTGCCCCTGAAACTTTCTACCTTCTATCCAACAGAGCTGACCAGTGGTTGTTATCTGTATGTGCCAGTAAATGACCCCCCTACAACCACCAAACACACAAACAAAAAACGATGGCGCTGGACTCCATTTGACTCAAATTGAAAAGTACTTCAGAAATAACTTATCGCTATAATAATCTCGGTAAATTACGTCTGTTGGTTTCCGTCTTAATGGTATTTTCGAAGTTCGATTGGAGGTTATGCAGAATGTGTGCCATATAATCTTGACCATTAGAAGTCAAACGTCACGATTCCAGTGTATTGTTAGGTCAGGTGTCATGCTTTATTGTCTCGTTCTGAAAATAAATACATAGTTCTGGAGTTGTAAATGTTTCTCCAACTTTACAAACATCTTGTAATTTTTCATTCTATTTTTAATTAACAAAATGTTTGTGGTAAAACAATCAGCATACCAGTTTGTATATAACAGTTTGTTAACCATACTATAACTGCTATGTACTGTGCCGATGAGGCCTTTCGCACAATACCAGTGTTCATCAGGCCCGCTGGGATACAGACAAAGTAGTAGTTGACACGCTAATAAACTGTTGAACAGCGGTTGTTATGGTATTAACTTGATTAAGTAGAAGAGAGCTTACAAATCAGAATTAATGTAAGGATTAATAACACCCATCCCTCAAACATGCTCGCTGTGGGGGCGTTATAACGGTCCGATCAATCCCACTATTCGTTGGTAAAAGAATAGCCCAAGAGTTGGCGATGGGTGGTGATGATTAATAACACAATATATTTTCCAATCCCCCTCTCTCTCACCAAACATACTCGCCCTTTCAGCCGTGGGGGCATTATAACGTGGGTGGTGTTAAGTAGTTGCCTTCCCTCTAGGCTATTAATGTCAAATTAGGGACGGGTAACGAAGACAGCCCTCGTGTAGCTTTGCGCGAAATTCAAAACAAACTAAACCAAACCACAATATTTATTTTAACACCTATTGTTTTATTATTTATCTGTACTTGATCCCCCCCCCCCCTCGTAGTGGCACAGCGGTATGTCTGCGGATTTACAACGCTAGAATCTGGGTTTCGATACCCGTGGTGGCCAGAGCCCAGATACCCCATTGTGTAGCTTTGTGTTTAATTACAAACAAACGATCTGTACTTGAATTACCTTTATTCATCATTTAGAAATACTGGCGAAGCAGCAAGCTAGTTTTATTGTTTGTGCAGTTGGTCAAGGAACCACAG